GCCTCGTTAAAACCTCGTTAGGTAGCAAAAACTTAATGGGAAAAATGCTCCTAATCGTAGGAAAAAGAGTACAATAAGATCAAGTGAGTATACTTGAGGATACTCCCCCTGAGTTAGACATAGCTTACGAATAAGATTACAAACGATTCAATTCAGATCATTTACGCATACCAATTCCTTGGACGAGCTTCTGAAAAGTAGACTTGGGCAATGACTTTGTGAAGAGGTCGGCTAGGTTGTAATACCCTGAAAATTTAAAATGTAAATTAATTATTTATGTTTATGAATATGTGGAGGAAATAGGAAAATAAATCAACAAATGGTTAATGAAATTCAGCGAGAAATGTGAAAATCCGTTCCTGGATTTGAATATTTAAATAAGTATTTTGTGGTTGTATTCATAATTACGACGTAATTACAATTACGGCAAATATTTGTTCAATAAAGTAAAAAGATGAAAATGCCCCTAGTTGGCTTAACATAAATATACGAGGACGTATTCTATCCTCATATATTTTATCGTAATTCCTAATAAATTTGAATAGAGCTCGGTCCTACGAGTGTGTAGGCGAAAATGGTTCATGAAACGGAGTTACAACGAAGGAGTTATTAACGATTGAAGTCGAGGACAAAATGGTCAATTTATCATTTATGGAAGGCTCCAGATTTTTGAAGCAAAATCTGGGATGCCACGTGTGTGGCTGTGATGAAGAGGGAAGGAGAGAAAGGTGAGGGGGGAACCGGCCAATCAGGGAGAAAATAAAGGAGAGAAATGAAGGAAGAGAAGAGGAAGAAAACCGGATCCTTCATCAACCAGCCGACCTAACCCAGTCGAATCTTCCTATCCCTGCGACCGTTGACGACAGCACCAATGTCAAAATATCCTTACTTCGAACCCAGTTGTTATCTCTCCCATTTACACCTGAAAAATTGAAGAAAGTGGGTTGATTTTGAGAGGAATCGCACGGTGGGTACGGCGATTTTGGCTTCGATTCGCCAAAATCCAAAGCTAACTCATACCATTTACATCACCAATAGTCTCCCCTCAATGTCAAGAACAAAGCCCAAGCAATGGTTGAGGTATCGATGTAACATCCCACATCGTCTAGGGGAGTGGATCCTGTAAGCCTTATATGTATATTCTCATCTCTACCTAGCACGAGGCTTTTTGGGAACTCACTGGCTTCGGATTCCATCGGAACTCTGAAGTTAAGCGAGTTCGCTCGAGAGCAATCCCAGGATGGGTGACCAACTGGGAAGTTCTCATTTGAGTTCCAAGAAACAAAACTGTGAGGGCGTGGTCAGGGCCCAAAACGGACAATATCGTGCTACGGTGGAGTCGAGCCTAGGATATGGTTGGGGCCCGGGCCGAGATGTGACAGTGTCCCCCTTCCCCAAAAACCTAAATCCCCTTTCTCCCATATGTCCCCATTCCCAAAAAACCTAGATCCCCTTCTCACCCACCGGAAATCCTTCCCACCCGTCCCCCCCAACCTTCCTCCACCACCCCCCCCCTCTTTCTCTCATCTCTCATTTCTCTTGCCATTCTTTCTTTTCTCTCTCTTTGGGCAACATGCATCCCCAAAATCCCAAAACCCATTACAAATTCACAACCCAAAATCTAATCAAACGTCCCAAATCTTGAGAAGACGGCCTTGTTCGACTTCGACCTCACCTTTCCTATCTAGATGGTGCAAGGATTAGAGATAGAGATGGAGTGTCTCTGATTTAGGGCTAGGGATTAGAGAGAGAATGAGTCTCTCTGATTTGGGGGTGGGCTCAGGTAGGGATAAAGGGTGTGTCTGATTTGGGAATAGGCTAGGGTGTGGAAGACGAACTGGGGCTTTTTTATTATTTATTATTATTATTATTATTATTTTTGTACATGAATAGGGACTAGCTCGAGGAGCTGCTGGTGAAGCCATCGTCGGCCTCCTTGGTATCGAAGAGGGTGGGTGGTGGAGGAAGGTTGGGAGGGGATGGTTGGGAAGGGTGTCTGGGTTTTGGGATTTTAGGGATGCAAGTTGCAGGAGAGAGAAGATAGAGAGGTGAGAGAAAGAGAGGAGAGAGAGAGAGAGGGTGGTGGAGGTAGATTGGGGGGTGGGGGGACGGGTGGGGAAGGATTTGTAGTGGTGGATCCCACAATTTTATATAAAAAAATATATTTAATTATTTTTAAATCCAGTTGGAATAATGAGTGGATCCCATTTCTAGCCACGTCAACACGTAATAAAAAAATTAACAGAAAAACTAACGGAAGTCTGACATTGACACAAATTCGTAAGATAAGGTATAACATTGTCATTTTTAAAAGATGAGGTATGATAGTGTTGTTCGACCCATAATTAAGGTAATTTTGTGTAATTTACCCTTAAAATAAAAAGCTTTTTCATGGGATTCCAAGGCATATATCACACAACCAAAGATAGGCTGAGGTTTTCTGATGACTAAATAAGTTAGAAAGTGTAATCTAACGTTGAAAAGGCATAATTTGAGTAAATAAAGGTGGATTATATCATAGTACTGAATTTATCTCATTGGTGGAGCAGTTAATTTAACGATAAAGAATTAGAGTCGACAGCAGAGTATCTCGTTGAGCACTCCAATCGCAGATGCCAAGCATTTTTGGGTTCTTTCACAATCTGCTTTTGACCCACTTTGAATATATGCGACTCAAACAAAAGCTTTGAAGACTTGGAGCTAATCAATGGGCTCGTTTGATAGAGTTTTTTTAAATGATTGAAAGATCTCTTTATAAGAGTGTTTTTGAAATCAATCCTTAATGAAAATGTAATGAATCCCGAAAATGCACATAAATTGCTTTTTACAAAAAACGCATAATTGATGTTTCTTGTAGAAAGCACTTCAAATGCTTTTAAAACTCAGAACACTTTAACCAAAAGTGCTTTTAAACATTTCAAAAACACTTTGAAATTAGCATAATTTATTATAATAGTAAAATTTGGCCACAATATTTGAGTGGAGCACACAACCGGCTGTTCAAGCTGCAGACTGTCTTCACATGGTTGGTGATATATTAAGTTCCGTTCTATTATAGTTTATTGTGACTTGTCAAAAGAAAATCTAACATTTTACAAAATCTCTTTACTTTTAACCTCCTATTTATCTTAATATTGATTGAGTAAAAAAAAAAATAAGAAAGAACAAAGATCGTCGGGTACAATTTTCAATTTTCTAAGGTGGAATATAAGAATCTATAGATTCACTTGGATATAAAGCTTCTCTATGGCTGGAGATGAGTTTCTTTAGAATTTTCCGAGAAAAAAATATTTAAGTGTTGTAAAGATTTTCAAACATTCCTATTCCTAAATGAAAAGGACATGTCTTGGGACGCATTAGTGTTCGTTGAAAATGGCAGACAAGGACATGTCCTAGGACACATTTGTGTTTGTGGAAAATAGCCAGCTAGCAGTTACAATTGAAAAGGGGGATGAGTTTGCATAAATACTTAAGGTTAGTTTGGTATTGTTTTGTTTTTAAAAAAAATTGTTTTTACTATGTTGTGAAAATAAAAAATTGTAAAATAAAGTTGTTGGGTGTTTGGTAAACAATTTTTTTTAAATAAACTTTTTTTTAAAGTAAACTTTTTTTTTTTGTTGGTAAAAATGATTTAAAAAAATATTTAAGTATTTGGTAAACTTTTATATAAATTGACGTGAATATGTTAAATGACTAAAAATATATATATAGTATTTAATGTAAAATAATAATTGTCAACAACAATAATATGGGGGCAAAAATTTTAATTCTATAAAATATGTGAGGGTCTATTTGCCATTTGAAATTTCATTAAATTGACACTAATTACCATGCTTTAAAAAAAAAAGGGTATATTTCTATGTTTTTCTACTATCGTTGACAACAATTTTTTTTTAAATATTTTATTTTGTTTTACCAAATATATTGAATGTTCCAAATTTTTTAATAAGCTCTTTTTTTTTTTTTTTTTAAGACAACACAATCTCAAACTAGCTCTTCAATTCCACGTGCTATGACATGTGTTTTATAATTTGACGGACATTAGCAATCTTGTGAGTTGGACTTGTAGGTCCACTTGGTGGGCAGTTAGGAAAGATTGTGGACATTTAAAATGGACTTAAATTCAAGCCGATGTTTGATATGCTTCAAGAGGATCACGGACAGGTTCCTATTTTGGTTCCATGTCCGAAATACCACTTGATTCATAACCTCTCCGTTGACATGGGTTGTGAGTCCATCGTGCCTTCGCCAACTGCAATTTCCCATGGTCAACTTTAGAAGATCGGGAGAAAATTTCAGAAGATCGTGGGTGGGTCATGGGTTACGAGCGGTGTAACAGTCATAAGCGATTTTGCGGTCGTGAGCAATGTCGCAGGTTGACGATTTCTGGGTGGATGGGTCGTCGTCGAATCTAATTTGCAGGTTTGAGGACACGTTGCGTCGTGGGTTGTTGTGGGCGACGTCGGAGTCGTGAGTTGATTGCTTTCTAAGTGGGTCGTGATGATTGATGAATAGATAGATGGACTGGTATTACATTTAAGTCCAATTCAGTCTCATCCAGCTTAATGTTTCACCAAACAATAGACTGGGATTTGAGGTCAAACCAATCCCTGCCAATCAATATCTCTAAGACTCAATCTCATCCAAAATACTGAACGAGTCATTTTCTTTTTAACTTCTTGTTTTTGTTACAATCTTGCAACGTTGCTCAATGATTCTAGTTTCCAGACCATTTCTTAAGGATCAACTCAGCAATAAATCAATCAAACCAAAAATCGTTAATTAAACTATTGAATGTTTGAATGAAAAATGATATTCTATCTATTCATTGATTGACTAAATGATTTCGGATTTAGTTTTTTTTTTTTTTTTTTTTTTTTTTTTTTTTTTTTTTTGGTCAAGTGGAAGATTTTATTCCAACCAAAACACAAACTTACAAACAGCCAAGGGCCCAAAAACACTTATAAACAACCAAAAATGGCCTAAACTGAAAGAAAAAACAACAGAAACAGAGAATGAGCCCAAAAGCACACTCCACTTATAAACAAAGAAACTCTCTCTTCCTATAAAAGCGGGGTACTCTCCATATTTCTAGTTTGTTTCAGTACTATTTAGATGTATTTGTTTCATTAACAATACCAGGCAAAAGATGGAGCAAGAAATGGAAAAGAGAAAACGAGCTAGTAGTACTGCATCATCAGAAGCAAATACTATTAGGGATGAAGATAACTGGGTTCATGATTCATCTGTAGATCATAAAGGAAGAGTTCCTCTACGCGCTTCAACCGGCGTTTGGAAAGCTTCTCTCTTCATCATGAGTAAGTCTATTCTCTGCTGTGTGTTTTGCTATGTCTGTGTGTGTATATGTTCTGTGTGTATGAATAGGTTTTACGAATGCCTTTGAGAACCAGCAGTTCAGCTTAACATGGTATTTGATGGTTTTACTACTTTTCTTTGGAGTTTGAATTTTATTTGGCCATTGGTTATTCAAATTAAAGATGCTGCAATGATAGGGTTTTATCCAATTTGGTATAAATCTTTCAAGATCTATAGTTATAGAATATGAGTAGTTGGTCAATCAATGGAATAGTTTCTCTATACGCTTTGATCCGCGCATGGATAGATTCTATGTTCGTCATCGGTAAGTGTACTCTCTGTGTTTTGTCTGTGCGTATGTGTGCATGTATTTGTGTTTCTATTACTTTTCTTTGAAGTTTGAATTTTATTTGGCCATTGATTATTTAAAGCTAAAATGATATAACAATAGGTTTTCTTCCATGCGATATAAATCTTGCATAATAGTTGAAGGATATGAGTCGTCGGTCAATTAGCAGAATACAATTAAAATTCAAACTTTAAAAAGTTTTTCAACTAAACTTGCCTATATGATTGGTATAACTCATCATTTTTATTCTTAATAATAAAAATCAATATAAGCAGTCTCTGAGTTTGTTCATAGTAAATCATTTTGGTTCTTACGTGACAAATCTATCAACATCTTCGTTAAATTGTCATGTAAATGACCACGTGTCTACCTTTTAGGGGTATTATTGTCAAATCAACTACTTCACTTAATGAAGATATTGATAGATTTTTCACGAAATGACCAGAATAATTTACGACGAACAAACTCATGGCCACTTCTATTGATTTTCATTGTCTGTGATCAAAATGAAGAGTTATGTCACTCTCAAAAGCCATTTTAGCTAAAAAGCCATGAGATACGTAAATATGCGTGTGTTTTGCCATCTCTCCTTAGACATACTTCAACCCTTAGAGTAAAACTCAAATTTTAGGTTCTAAACTTACCCCAACATGCCCAAACCATTGAGGCAAATATGAGTTAAAACTCAAAACTCATTTATGAACCAAATCTAGCCCAAGATTCCCCCCCAGGATTAGTGGGGTTGGCCAACCATATATATATATATATATATATATATATATATATATATATATATATATTTTAGTTTTATATTTGTAAATTTTTTTAATCCAACAGTTAAGATCTAATTTGATGAAATTCAACGGTAAAAAAAAAAAATATATATTTAATTGTCCAAATTTAAATCTAACGGCTAAGATAATTAAAAAAAAATTCTTTTATGTGTTTCATATTTTGTTCATAGTGTTTAACGAGTTTCATGGTGTCGGTTAATGATTTTTCAATATTTGTCAGAATCTAAATATTTTTAGGTTGAAATGTTCATAAAATTAAATTATGATTGTCTATATAATTTTTTCTTTTAAAAAAGTTCTTCTAAGAAAACAAAATTAGCCTAAATTCATTCTTTAATAATATGGGACTGAAATTTTAACCCAAAAGGGTTAAAGTAAAAAATCTATTTTTTGATTAAAACCTAAATTTTTTAAACTAAAAATTTTAAATTTTAACTCAAAGGTTAGAAATTATCGCACTGATAGGAAAATGACGGTAAAGATTCATTTGGTGGACGGTAGACGTTGATGTCAAAGGCTAGTGGCTGCCTTTTTCAATCGGCTGCTCACAAAATTAAAACCAAAGGTTTGGACTTAACCTTTTCCCTTTAGACATCGTATTTCTGCGTGCACGTTGCCCTTATCCTCAGTTTAAACCGACCGACTATGTATTGTAATGTTTTGTTTTGTGTGTATTGAGTTACTCTCACATCATTATATGATAGGGGTATGATATCTACATATCCTATTTTACTTTTCACATATTTTTTTAATTTTTAGCTGTTGGATCGGATGAATTGAAGAAGATTAACGGATAGAAACTATCAAAGGGTGTGTGAGAAGTAAAATGGGTGCGTGGATAGCACACCCCAATATGATATAACAACTGGCCAATTCTGTATTGTAATTACTCTAAGGTTGTTTTGTTAGCCAAAATTGTGAAATTAGCATAACTCATCACTTTTGATCCCTAATAATGATAGAAGTAGTTCTTAAGTTTGTCGACCGTAAATAATTTTGATTCTTCTGTAAAAATAAAAAAAAAATTGTTAATTTCTTTCGTTAAATTATGACGTAAACGACCACATGACTATCTTTTTAAGGGTATTGTTGTCAACCAACTCTTCTACTTAATGAGGATATTGAAAGATTTTTCATGGAAAGAGACCAAAATGAACTTTTATCAATTTTTATTGTCAGGGACTAAAATGATGAGTTTTATCACTTAAGAACTATTTAAAACCTATATATATTTCTTCAGAAAATGCTAAAATACCACATTTAAACTACATCTCTAATAGATATGCCTATTTGTTTTATGGACTCTCTCTCTTTATTAGATGAGAGATTTTTTAGTATGACCGGTATTAAAGGGATGATTTAGATGTGATCCCTCTACCATCCCTCTTTTTTTTTTTTTTTTTTTTAGTCCGGTGGATTGCACTTTTATATGTCGTTGCTACTTCATCAATATTATTGGGTGCTCCATATGCTTTGATCTTACAATTGTCAATGTGTTGTCAGATAGTGGGCATGATGAATATTCTTGTCATTATTTACTAGAGTCGCATATCAATGTACTTACTGATATATTCGATAATGTTGTAGCTATTGAATTTAGTGAGAGGTTGAGTTACTTTGGAATAGCCACAAATCTCATCACCTACCTTACTCAATTGCTTCACCAAGACATCAAAACAGCAGCCAAAAATGTGAACTTCTGGGCAGGAGTGACAACTATAATGCCTTTAATTGGAGGATTTTTAGCAGATGCCTACGCTGGCCGATTCAGCATGGTTCTGTTTTCATCCCTCATCTATCTAATGGTAAATATTTGAAACCCTAATTTACAAGAGAAACTACCGGACGCTACTGTGGCAGTACCCTTAGTTAATGACAGGCTGCCATGTGTTTTAATTTCTTCAAGTAGTGGTGCGTGGTCGATTTGGGATACTAAGTCACATCACCGTTGCGGGGTAGTTATTCTCGCTAATTGACATTTGATTATCACATTCATAAATATTGGACTAACTCCTACAAATCACCAGGGCCTAAGTATCCTGACAATGTCCCAGTTTATCCCAAGTCTAAAACCCTGCAGTACAAAGATGTGCCAACAGCCTCGAAAACTTCATGAAGTGGTGCTTTTCATTGCCTTGTACTTCATCTCAGTTGGAACTGGAGGGCACAAGCCATGTCTTCAAAGCTTTGGAGCAGATCAATTTGACGACGATCACACAGAAGAACGAAAGAAAAAAATGTCCTACTTCAATTGGTGGAACTTTGCACTTTGTTGTGGATTGTTTCTTGGTGTGACTGCAATTGTCTATGTTCAAGACTATGTGAGTTGGGGTGTGGCTGATCTTGTGCTAACAATCACCATGGCTTTTACAATTGTGACCTTCTATATGGGGAAGGCTCTTTATAGGTATAGAATCCCAGAAGGAAGCCCTTTGGTCCCCATGTTACAGGTTTTGGTTGCAGCTATAAGAAAAAGAAAATTACCCAATCCTTCAAACCCCGCTTTGCTATTTGAAGTTCCCGAGTCCCATAAGCAATCCCAAGGAAGGCTTCTACTTCATACAAATAGGCTTAGGTAAGTAAAGCATAAGCCTTCATTATATAATTACACTTTATTTGAATAAAACTATTTCAGACATACCACATTGGCGACCACATCTCGAACAGAGGCAGGGCCGGAGTTCATCTCTATTAAAGACGTGGTCAACAAAGTCATCAATATTATTGGGCACATTGTTGGCACGTCTCAGATAGAAGTCGACCTTCCTTTATCTCTGTCTAAGATTCTGTCAGCAAATTTCATTATTAAATACGGTCCAAAGTGAACCTTGGCACTAATTAGCTTTTATATGTAGGTTTCTAGACAAGGCAGCAATCATCGAAGAGAACGAGAATACATCTTGGGACCAGAAACACAATCCTTGGAGATTGACAACACTGACAAGGGTGGAAGAGGTGAAGCTTATTTTAAACATGATCCCCATATGGCTAACCTCTTTAACATTTGGACTATGTGTAGCACAAGCCTCAACATTCTTTGTCAAACAAGCTGCAATAATGGACCTGCATATCACTGACAACTTCAAAATCCCACCAGCCTCAATCTATTCTCTTGGGGCCATTGCAATGCTTATCTCCGTCACAGTCTATGACAAGATTCTTGTTCCGATTCTAAGGAAAGCGACCGGCAACGAAAGGGGGATTAACATTCTCACAAGGATTGGAATTGGCATGATTTTTTCAGTTGTAGCAATGTCAGCTGCAGCATTAGTTGAAACAAAAAGACTAAAAGCTGATCGGCCGCAATCTATGAGTGTGTTCTGGTTGGCTCCCCAGTACATAATTCTAGGGTTTGGAGATGGATTCACTCTGGTAGGGTTACAAGAGTATTTCTACGACCAAGTTCCTGACTCAATGAGAAGCTTGGGGATTGCTTTTTATCTGAGTGTGATTGCGGTTGGGAGCTTCATAAGCAGCTTTCTGATTATTGTTGTGGATCATGTCACAGGAAAGGGTGGGAATAGCTGGTTTGGGAAGGACTTGAACTCAAGCCGTTTGGATAATTTCTACTGGCTTTTGGCAGCCATGAATGGTTTGAATTTGTGTGTTTACGGGTTGTTGGCTAGGGGTTATACTTACAAAAATGTGGAGAGAAGGGTGGTTGTGGCTGACGATACTTCTCTCAGTAATGGAATTGATCAATCTATGGCTTAACTGTCATGTATCTAAGAAAATTGAGCAGTGATTGCTCAGTGTTTCACTATACGCAATGCATGTAGAAGAAAAATGTGGACACGATGGAAATCGGATAAAGAGTCGAAGAATTTTATTATATCTTCATATTTTAACTCAGTTTGTTACTACTATTTAGTCGTAACTACCATGTCAAATTGTAAATGTTGTTTGTTGTATTGTAAGAAAAGCTGCTTATGATTATGAATCTAAGCCACAATAACTATTTATGGGCAATATATTATTTTCTGGCTTAATTAACTGTTGATTGCCCGTTAAGATGTTAAAAAATAACTTAAAAAAAAAGTGTTTCCATTTAACGGTAAACAAGAATATTTGAAAATGAAAACTTCTTTTTATCATTTAGTATTACGGTTTAATAGTAATTCTCATTACTTGTACGTGAAAAGTCTTATATTTGAATCTCGTAAATATCAAGTTCGATATTAATTTTTTAAATCACCCCTAATGGAATTAACTATATCGTTGAATATAAAAAATTAAAAAATTAAAATAAAAACAATGTTGTAGCCTATTTTATCTAACAAGGGTAAGAGGGCCAGCGGCAAAGAGAAGAGATTGAGAGAGATGTGTTTGTAGAATTGTAGGGGAATATGTGTGTTATCCATCCTAGATAGTGCCTTTATTTATTGTAGTAAAAGGAAAGAAGAAATTCCTTCATTCCTAAGGAATACAGGTTGTAATAGGAAAAGATAAATAGAATCAAATCTAATCTAGGATTTACACAATCACACTTAAACTAGGAAAGTTTACAACACTCCCCCTTGAGTGTGTAAATACTCAAGATAGATTTAGCATCATGCAAAAGTTGAGGAAGTCAACTCATGGCACTAATTCTAAGGAACAACACTTATTCTTAATAAGGTAGGGACTTGCATAAGTAAGTAAGTCTCACTAAAAAAACCCTAAGGCTATGGCAAAAACCCGAGAAGGGACAAAATCCATAGTCTAAGGAAAAATGTGTGAGAAATGTAAAGTCAAAAGAAACGTCTATGAGACATCATCAGGGATATGACTAGCCCAAGGTGGGTGCCTCATTAAAACTTAGTTAGGTAGCAAAAAACCCAATGGGAAAATACTCCTAATCGTAAGGAAAGAGAGTACATTAAGATCAAGCAAGTATCTTCAAGATACTTCCCCTGAGTTTGACACAATTCCAAAGAGAAATAGCAATGTTACAACTCAAAAAGTTTACGCATACCAATTCCATGAACAAGCTTCTGAAACATCATCTTCGGCAGTGATTTGGTGAAGAGGTCGGCCATATTGTCTTGTGAACGGATTTGCGTAACTTCAATCTTCTGATACTTTTGTTGTTGATGTGAAAAAAAGAACTTCGGTCCAATTTGCTTGGTGTTGTCTCCTTTGATATAACCTTTCTTGAGCTATTCGATGCATGCTACATTGTCTTCAGATCGTCGTAGGGACATTTACGGCAAGATAAAGATCGTAGGAGCTTCAAATATGGCCCACTATTGCTCTCAACCAAAAGCATTCTCAAGTTGCTTCATGTAAGGCGAGAATTTCAGCATCTTTAGACGAAGTGGCAACTAAGGTCTGTTTAGTTAACCTCCAAGATATTGCAGTGCCTTCAACGATAAAGACATAACCTATTTGAGAACGTGCCTTGTGCGGATTAGACAAGTATCCTGCATCGGCATAACCAATAAGGCGAGAATTGACTAGAGAAGCAGGGGGTAAGGCATCACTCGATGATCCATAGGGATAAAACAAGTCCAAATCCGTAGTACCCTTAAGGTAACGGAAGATGTCTTTCATGCCAGTCCAGTATCTGCATGTTGGTGCATTACTGTATCTTGCCAAAAGATTAACAACGAAGGAGATGTCGGGTCTAGTGCATTGAGCTAAGTACAATAAAGAGCCTATCACATTTAGAAAAGGAACTTCAAGCTCCCAAATCTCTTCATCATCCTCCTTTTGACAAAAGGAATCTCGTTTTGCATCTAGCAATCGAACGACCATATGAGTACTTGAAGGCTTCACTTTATTCTTATTAAAGTGGTGCAACACCTTCTGGGTGTAGTTCGATTGATGTACTAAAATTTCATCCGAACAGTGCTCTATCTCGAGACCGAGATAGTATCGAGTCTTACCTAGATTTTTCATCTCAAATTTCGACTTCAAGTGTGCAGCAATTCTCGCGAGCTCTTCAAGAGTTCCGATAAGGCTCATGTCATTGACATATACTGTAACAATCACAAATCCGGAATGTGACTTCTTAATGAACACGCAAAGGCATAGTTCGTTGTTCACATATCCCTGACTAGTCAAATACTCACTCAGATGGTTATACCACATTCTTCTGGATTGCTTCAAACCGTAGAGTGAACGCCTCTGCCGCATTAAGAGCGTGTTCCGGGGTTTGGAAATATTTGAATCAGTCAATGTAAGTCCTTTAGGAACTTTCATATAAATTTCCATATCAAGATCCCTATAGAGATATACAGTTACTACATTCATCAGCTGTATACTCAGTTTTTCGGAAACTACCAAACTGATAAGGTAGTGAAAAGTAATCACATCCATAATGGATGAATAAGTTTCATCATAGTCAATCTTGGAACGTTGTGAGAAGCCTTGTGCAACAAGACGAGCTTTGTAACGCACAATTTCGTTCTTCTCATTACGCTTCTAAACAAAAACCCACTTATAGCCAACAAGCTTCACATGTGGAAGTGTATGAGCTACAGGTCCAAACACCTTACATTTCGAGTTCGACTTGGATCGCTTATTTCAGTTTAACCAATCAATTCTACGTCGACATTCATTAACGGAACACGGTTCAATGTCATCGCTCAACATGTTCTCAGTAGCTACTGCATATGTTAATGCATCTTTGACAATCATCTTATTTCTGTGCCACACATCATTTAAGCTAGCATAATAGACCGAAATCTCACGATTCTCGGGAGGAGGATTCATCTCTTCAAGGACGCTTCCATAATCTAGAATTTCCTTATGAATTGGATAGAATAAGTAAGCAATAGTCAGATTCACAGTAGGCTCTTCGGGACCTTGTGCCGTGGATTTCTTTTTCCGGGCATGTGAATCCTTTGAACCAAGAGGTCTACCACGCTTTTGTGTAAGGGCAGATGATTGGTTAGCCGCTAATATACATATATCACTAAGATTGGCGCCCCGGTCCTCCAGGAGGGAAGTTCATCGTATATTTGGTATATCCATCTTTGTAGGCGTATTCGCAGCTAGAATATGTGATCTTGTCACTCATGCTAGATCGGTGAAAGCATCTGGCATACTCTAAGCTATGCTCTGGAGATCTAATATACGCTACACTTCAGATTCAGACTAAACGGTGTGGGGATCTAAATGAGACAAAGTGGGAGTCGTCCATGATAATTTGCATCATTCTTCAGAAGCGTTGACGTTCTTATCTCTTCTTCACGATGGGAAAACTATCTTATAGAAGTGACAATCCACGAAACGAGCAGTAAATAAATCGCCTGTCAAAGGTTCTAAGTAACGAATAATCAAAAGAGAATCATATCCGATATAGATTCTCACCCTTCACTAAGGCCCCATTTTTTTACATAAGGGTCGCGAAATCAGCACATATACCACATAACCAAAAATGCGTAGATGCGATATGTCGGGTTAGTATCCGGTAACCAACTGAATGGCACTAAATGGTTGTGTTGCAACAGGCCTCAGGTGGACCAACTTTGCAGCATGCAATATTACATGGCCCCAAGCAATAATCAGGAGCTTGGTACGTATGACCAACAATCAAGCAATCATTTGTAAGCGCTTAATGAAAGCCTCTGCCAGGCCATTCTGGGTGTGAACATATGGTACGTGATGTTCAACTTTAACCCCAACCGACATGCAATAGTCATCAAAAGTTTTAGATGTGAATTCTCCATCATTATCAAATCAAAGATATTTGATCGGATAATCAGGGTGGTGAGCCCTGAGCTTGATAACCTGAGCTAACAATTTGGAGAATGCAACATTCCTTATGGACAACAAGCACACGTGTGACCAACATGTGGAACCGTCAACCAAAATCATAAAGTATCTAAATGGTCCGCATGAAGGGTGAATCGGGTCCACAAATGTCCCCCCTAAATCCGTTGTAGAAAAATGGGCGGATTCAAACAAATCTTGTCATAAGAAGGCTTAGTAATAAGTTTTCCCATAAAACATGTTTGACATGCGATTCCTTAGATCGAACCTAAACTTCGGGTTAGTGGATGCCCGTGTGATGATTTGAGGATTCGGCACATCGTTATTCATCCAGGATGTCCCAAACGATCATGTCAAAGTGTAATTTTGTGCGCGGTTCTAGTAGTAAAGTCGGCCACATAGTGGCATTTTATGGGGCGTATGGTCTTAGTATACAGACCACTCAGGATACATTCCATCTTCTTTAAAATACGCTTCTGGCCATATTCGTAGAAAGTTATAGGTAGAAATTCAACTATGTTATCTACGTGGGTTTCAACGTGGTAATTGTTATCTCTAATGTCCTTGAAACTTAACAACTTGGAATATGGAGAATAGAGTGTCTCAGCAATGGTCAATATTGTACCATTGGACAACATTAGACGTGCCTTACCATATCCTTCTATCATGTTGGATGGGCCTGAGAGGGTTGTCAAAGGTGCATTCTTAGGTATGAAGTTAGTGAAATAGATGCGTTCACGCAAAACGGTGTGCTTGGTTGCACTATCTGCCAGACAATTAACTTCCCAACTTGTCATACCTAGAATGAAAAATTAATTTGAATCGGTTACATGTATAAAAGTTCTAAAAACAAATATCAATTCAAAATAATTTCATTTACTCAAGGATGATAATTAATTAAAACTTAATATCCAAAAAAAAATCACCAACAAATAATCCAAATATAAAGGAAAATTGTTCAAAAATCAACCAAAAAAGAAAGAAGGTTTGCCCACTAGGCGAAATTCGGCCCCATTGTGCAATTTTAACTAACTAAAATTGTTTATGTCTAATATTCTAATCTTCCATAGGGGTGGTATCCTCTTGAAAGTCAAAAACCTCCATCTTTGTAATCTCCGGTTCGTTCATGTGCTCAAAGTTTGATTCAAACTTCTTACAGCAAGAATGATATTCAGCTACAACAGTATGGGAGCTCAGCAAATATGGGACCAATAGTCCTTTGAACCACAGCAATAGCACATATCCGCATTCATGGTGCCAGGTGCTTTGCCTTTATTCTTGAAGTTCGGGGCTTT